CAATACTGAATATTTTTTTAGTTAATTTTCTGGACTTGCTGCATATAACATGAATATTACTCGCTTAATAAATGCATTGTTTGGCACGTGGTTCGAGTTTTCCCATAGGCTCTTGTAAATATATAAAAACCGAGCCAATTAATTTTCCAGCCATACTAATGATCGGCATAATCGTGTATGAATGAGTAACAGGATTCATTGATTTGACCTGGCCTTTTATTGTTTTTTCACCAGTTGTTGCTAGTGTCCGTATTGATGGATTGTCATAACTGAAAAACCAAAAATTTTATTTTCTATCTAATTTCCTTCCATTCATGAATATCGCACCTGAAACTGCTTTGATCGCTGTTCAATATATGATCTTTAGTATAATCTGGAATGGAAATTTTTACTGTCGTGACGAAATTTTCGACAGATTTTAATATTTTATCTCGATCTTCCAAATGATTTTTGGTTACCAACTTTGTCGCTTTTCTTGATGAAATGTAGTGGCGATGTTTGAAGTTTAATATCCAATAATGAGATGCCGTAAAACCAAACAATATTTAAATCATGTGCTTTTTTGATAGCCAAGCGTCTTAAATCGGAATCGTGTATTGATAAACAGCATTCTCGAGTACGAATAAATTCCGTATAGACTAAGTCACCGCCATGTTGGAGTTTTTATGTTTTTGTACCTTGAGCATTAGCGTATTGCTTCATTCGGCGTAACTGTTCCTTGTGTTTTATTTGTCTATGTCGCCTACATAATGTATGAAAAGTGTGGGTTTTTGAAAATTCAATGATGGCACACATTGTCCTAAAGAAATATTTTATACCATCGACGTTCAATGTAATATCATTCTTATCTTTCTCTTGATAATTAGCACTACAATCGTCATATTCATCGAAATTCAATGTTATAATATGGTCGACTAGCGGTTCTGTTAGAGTTAGTAGTTGGTTAAACAACAGAAATAATTGATCCGCCAGCTCATAATCTTTGGACGATGGCTTAGTTTGAGTAGTTTCTGAATATTTCTGACGCACCAGATTGTTAAACATGTAAAGAATGTTGTTAACATTTATCATATTTATGTTGAGAACACCTTAATATATCACTTTAGAGATTGTGAAGGTTATTACATAATTTATTTCGAACATCGTGGTCTATTTATAGATCGAAAGAGCGAACGAATACACGAATATAAGAGAGATGTATATCAGAAAAACAAATAAATAGTGATAACAGAGACCTGAAGAAGAAAGTACGAACATATAGAGATACAGAATACATATAGTTAATATACGAGATCCAGGATGATATAAAGAAAGCACAGAGAGCACACAAATCGAACAAGATATATAATAGTTAGAGAGCAAATACACTAGAATTTTTAAAAAATTCATAAGAAAAAAACCTGTATAGCGAGGCATATATGTCAAATTTTTGAAAACTGTTTCGTGTATAATTTTTTACTAACGCAGTCCAAGCACCTAATTGTTTCACAACTAGGATAGATATACTTGACTTAACAAACCGACATCATTTTCATTGAAATCCCCGGGACACACCTGGGAACCTTCCCTTGTCAGATATTCATTCGTTTCAATAAAAAGAACACGTTTCGCGATCCCTTTATTCTATCTAATTTATATCGTTTGACTCTTTAAGTGTTAATTAAATATTTTCTACAAGATTTTTCTGATATTTTCAGTGGTTATCAAACGTTACTTTGGTGTAAAATATGTAGAATATATAGTTTTGGAGTATTGATGTATTTTTATGGTCTTCCTAGCACCTCTATGTTTCTGGATGACTCTAAATATATGTTCTAGGATTTCTAAAACAACTTAATCTTCAGTAACGAGTACAAATCTAAATCAAAATAGCGGATAAAATTCGAATTTCAATGATCCTTGACGAACTCAAGTCAAAAAGCCTACAGTATGGTGTATGAAAACTATTAAGGACATTTTTTGCACTAGTGACCATGCTCTTTTTAAAATGGAAATGTAATGAAATTGTATCTTTTGAAAAGGGCTATCGAATGTACTGAGCCAATTTTTTAGTTACTTCAGTTTTCTCAGTCGAATATCTGCCGAAAAATAAAAGAACATGACAAATATTCGTAGCACTTCTTAATGCATTCAATCTTTATCTCATGAAACTAAATAATCGATTGCTGATTTTTATATAGAATTGAAGTCCTACTCAAGAGCTATCAAATTCATTATTTAGGTGCTATTTTGTCTTATATATTTATTATAGAATTGGAACCACTCTGCACGAATTAATGGCCAAAAATGAGTTATTTTGTTTAAGACTTTTAGTCTTCACAACTCGAGCAAGGTCTCATGAATTTAGCATCAAAATGCTCGTCTCAACTTACTCTTTCTGTTGATATAAAATTGAATAGAGCTTGTCAGGAAAAATACCAATGGGCTGATTCCCTATCTTATGCGCCCTCATTCTTCCAATTCAGGTACTGATATTGAACTAATATTAACCTTATAACGATCAAATGTGTTAATAATAGCATATAAATCTTTACAAACATAATGAAACGAACGAAGAATGATCGATATAACCAGATTGTCACATATATAATGTAAGATCTCGACTGGTAAATTAAGAAGAGATATTGTTGACATAGATTTAATCAGTTAGAATAAATTCTATTGACTGTCAAACTGCGTCCAGCAGTAAATGTGGCGTTTGTGTGCTTTGTTTTGTTCTGTACTGTTATTTTAAATAAGCTGTTATCTAGCTTCCTTATGACTCAATCTTTTACTAACCTTTCAGAATGTTTCGATTTTCTATCAATGCAAAAAAGAGCTGCCAAAATGTTAAACTAAAATTATGCAATTTGATTCTTTTTACGCAGGGAATAAAAATAGGTTATTTTTTCTCCCGACTTTGATAATACATCTGTTCACACATAACAGGCAAACTACCAATAAAGATAAAGTTCGTGCCTCTGCACTGTCATTGTATTGTGTAACGGCAACGTAGTAGATGAGTGAGAGGTGCCACTATTGTACTTTCATATTTTGCAAGCGTCACGTACCGAATCATATATAACATCTTAGATTATTTCTAGATATACATCTTCGTTAAAATAAGAGATATTATTTATTATTTAAAAAAGTCCATTAAAATGAAATTAAGTTTTATTATTGAATGTTGATGCTTGGATATATTTATTATTAATTTGTGTTTCTTTATCATCTGTGTCTTTCTCTGTTAACATTTCTTTGATAGTTTGTTCAAAACTTTTCGGTGATCGTTGTAATATTTTTTCCAAAGTTTTATCAATTTGTGAAAGGTCTCCACGTTGTAATGCTAAATAAATTGTAGCCCATATTCTTACCCATACTTCATTTTGATTTTTTAAATTTCGATTAATATATTCGTCTAATGAAACAATTTTTATTGGAATTTGACGATCTAGAATTTTTGAAACAATTAAAGCTGTTTCTTTTAATGTATAAAGTCTTGAACCAGTTAATAAAATAGTTTTATTTTGATAAATATTAGTTGGTTCTATTAATATTTTTGCTGTTGCTTCAGCTAAATCATCTCTTGCAACAAAAGGAATTCCACCATCTGCTGGTATAACAATTTCATTTGTTGTTTTAGCATCAAAATGTCCAAGAAAAAGTGGAAAAACTTCGGAATAAAATTCTTCACGAATAATTGTATATTTAATAGGCGATGATTTAAGTAAATCTTCTGTATTTAAATGTGCTCTCATTATTTCTACATCTCTTGTGTCTCCAATTGATGAACTTGTATAATAAATATGTTTAATTCCAACATTTATAGCTGCATCAATAGCATTTCGATGTTCTGCAGTTCGTTTTTCATTGTTAATTGTAATAGATGAGATTAGAAATAAAATTTCTCCACCTTGAAATGCTTTTTCAAGAGTTTCTTTTTTCTTATAATCTCCATGACGCGTACATCAAAAACAATTTTTTCTAAGTGAGGACCAATACCATTTGGATTATAAACAGATATTATTATATCTTTTGAATTAACACCAAATTCGAATAAATATCGTAAAACTTTTGAACCAAGTGCACCAGTTGAACCAGTTAAAACAATTTTACCCATCTTTTCCACTGCTAAACTTATCAAATGATATATTTAGTTTCTTATGATAATAAACAATCTTTTCTTTTTCTATTTACATACATTTATTGGGAGGATGCACATGTTATTACTATTTACGTCAGTATTACGTTTTCACCTTTTTGTATCGTTCTTTTATATATGTGTACGAATAAATTGGGACTCTACTCCTTTACTTTATATCATCAATGCGTTGTTTTTTTTTCTTATTTTTCAAAATAAACAATAATCTTAATATCGTTATTTGAAAGGTTGGCCGTCAAAAGACCAAAAAGAAAAATGTTGAGAAAAAAACGATGAAAATTTTTAGAGAAATGGAAAAATGTCGAAAAGAGAAATACCGAAGGGAAAAATACCGAAAATACAATTTGTTAAATACGTGATATATCTAATCAACATTAAATTTAATAGAAATTGTTCGATATAGAGCATAGTATTTGGCATCATCCTGAAGCATTCTGGGAGCGAGGCTCAAAACGATCAAAGAGTTCGCTCGGAATCCATCCAATATAACATACTAGCGTTTCCATCTCATAGACTTTACACTATTATCATTGTTAGTCGATTATTGATCATTCTCATTTTTGCTTCGTGAAGTATAGTCACATTTTTCTTTTTTGTTATCGTTACATTCTTTGTGCATCTGCCTCTCTAAGTCGATACGAGAGTACTGATGGCAGAGGCAATTAATATTGATCCTAATGAGGATCTTCAGTCTGGAAAGGAATATGAGTCACTGGAACAAGGTTCTATATCTATATCTATATCAAATGTTCAAGTTGAACTTATAACAAGATTTTTATCGGAGTGTCCGCAAGCAGCTTTAAATGTACATAAGTACTTGCAGAAAAATTATTCGAAGTCAAATCAGCAACAACAACTCATGCAACCAGTGAATTCAACACCGAAACGTGGTCATCCACTAGATAAAAGCGGAGGTTCGATCAGCAACGGAAGAGGTCTCCGTAAATATCCTCGAAGGGGTATTGACAATAATGCACATAAGCACTCACATAATGTACAACCAGAAATTAATTTACAAACACAGCAACCATCGTCTTCGATGTCGTCAGATGTAAGACAACATCAAGAGATAAATCAAGATAATACGAATCGTAAACGAATTTCTTTTAATCAATTGAAGCACGCGGTATCGTCTAATTTACCATGTTTCTTTATTGAATTCACCTCGGATGCGGATCGTAATAGCATTCCAACAGCTCTTCATGCAAGTGATCTTATACTGAAAGAACTGCAAACCAATGGTGTTTTAATCAATAGATTTACATTAGTAGGATGGGCAGGAAAAAAGCTAAAGTTAGGTGTTAATAATAAAGAAGATTACGCTACTCTCGTCAGTTCGGATAAATGGCCAACAAAGATAAATGGAATTGATATTGTGGTCGTGAAACCAAAATATATACCTGACTCATTCGCTCTCGTCGTCCGTTACGTACCTAGGGAATTAGATGAAAATTTTGTTTCCAATGAAATTCAGCGAACAATTGCTTCTGCAGATCGTATTAAACGTATTCATTATTCATACCAAAGAAGAACCCGATGATTATCGATTCGAAGTGAAAGATTATGGTGAATATAATGCTGTGTTGCAACTGGGTCGAATTGCAATAGGTCATTCGTGGTTATCGATCACCAAGTTTTATCCGGGAAATCGTTTAACTTACTGCACGAAATGTTGGCGTATTGGTCATTTAAGGAACAAATGCAACTCAGAAAGCAAATGTCGTATTTGTCTTGAAAGTCTGAATGTCAATACTCCTCATATGTGTAAAAATGTACCGAAATGTGCTCAATGTGATGGAGATCATCATTCGTTGGATAGTCAATGTCAAGTTTTAAAAGAATATAAAGATCAATTAAAGGAAGATGTCGAAGATGCCATACAAAAAGGACTATTACAGCGATTCTCACCGCAAGAGAAAGCACCTACATTTGAACGTCGAGAGCAAGACTTTCCACCATTAGCAGCAAGTGATAATAATTCTAATAAAAAATGGAATACTGCGCTACCACGTACAACTGTTGAATCGAATAATTTACGAGCATCATATACTGATAAAACAATTGAATCCATCAATGATAATCTGACAAAACTAATTGATAGTAACAAACGGCTTGAAAATAAAGTTGATCTAGTATCATCAAGTATAAAAACCGTTACTCTCGATATTCAGCTACATCAAGCAGTCTTAGCAGATACTATCAATATGATGAAAGACTTCATGCAATATGTTATACCAGCATCGTTAACTGCTAGCAAAATTGAAAGATCATCGTTGGTACAGGTCACGAGCGAATACTACAAGCGCCTTCATGTCGCGTCCTCAAGATTAATAAATGGTTTCCAATTAAATCAATTAAATCAGCAAGTTGATCTGTTTGTGCATAATACTAACATTGATCAACACTCTGCATCAGATCACAAATCATCACAGAATGATAAGTAGAACGTCAGATCTTAATGTACACGCTAAAGTTTTCTTTCCTGCTTCAGAGAATTATTCATTTAGTCCTATAGATGAAGCTATGCACCGGCTGAAAACTTGGAATTTTGCACCTAAAGATCAGAAATTAGTATTATCTCTTTTAGATGAATGGTACATGGGTAGAACCTTGAACACAGTCTTAGAACAATGGGGAAATGCTGGAATAGCTCCTTCACAAATCCAAAAAGAACATATTAAGTTCCTATGTTACAATGTCGAAGGTTGGGGTACGCGTGTGCTTGAAGCTATTGATTTAGTGTATCAAATTCAAGCTTCTATTGGTATATTTACTGAAGTTGATGAGTTATGGAACATGAGCCGATTACCACATTTTAACACGTTCTATCAAAAGGGAACTAACAAGAATGGATGAGTATGTATAGCAGTAGGGAAGCATCTGAAAGCGACGCGCATCGAGGTTAACATTCCGAACACAGTTGTCATTGATATAACAGGTCTATCAGAACCAGTACGTATCATTGGTATTTACTGGCCCACTAGTCAAGAGCGTGATCTTGATGATATCTTGTCTTATGTCGTAGAAGGTACCATACTATCAGGTGACCTTAATGCAACAGTCAAGGAATGGAATAGTCCAATAACTGATAGAAGAGGTGCGCACGTGAAAGAATGGATTAATGAAAATAATCTCAATTACATTCCATCAACGTCCAACTCATCTAAGCGCTCTCTACGTAATATAGATTTGTCGTTCTCTAATATGAGTACTATTTCAAGCGAAACATTGTTTTTTGGCACTAGTGATCATTGGCCGATTGTGTTATCGTGTGAGAACATTTTTTTCGATATAAACAGTTTTTTTCCTCATACAAATCGGAAGGCATTTGAAGCAGTAATAACGCTATTACAAACATTCTGGATGAGAGAACAAAAAAAAATAGTGCTGATGAGTGGTACAAACAATATATTCGTTTCATCGCGGCTGTCAAAAATAGAGTGACTCATTGAAAAGAGAGAGATAAATATAAACCATCATTACCGGAGTATATCATCGAAAAATTAAAAGAAATACGAAAAGTGAGAAATAGATATTATTATTTAAGACATAAGGGAGTTTTTAATGAGGAAACGAGGGTGCTACTACGTACAATGACGAGAGAGACCAAAGTTGAAGTTGCTAAATACAAAAATGCTCAATGGCAAAATTTTTTGGTTAACATTCAAACGTCTTACAATAAATCAGATAAAGCGTTTTGGACACACTTATCTCGCATTCACAAACCGCGTACGCTGCCTTTTTATAAACTTTCGGATGGCTCTAAAATAATATCAACTCAACAAGAAATTACAAACGAACTATATCAGTATTATAGTGAACAGTTTAAAGCATCTGCTCTGGATTGTTATAATGTACATGAAACTCATTTAGACATTGAATATAAAGAGTTGTTAAATAAATTAATAATCTCAAAAGATAAAGTCGAAAAAACTAGTGTTTGGGAAATCTCACGATTAATTGAAACGTTAAAGCCTAAGAAGTCAGCAGGTTTTGATTTGTTGTCAAACTTCATAATTAAAAAACTTCCTCCAAGTTACATCGAGTGC